TATTAGGATTATATGGATATGGTAAATAATGATTTGTTAATATTAGGAATATACTTAGGCTTTAATAATAATTATGAAGAAGCTATTAAATACTTTGATAAAGCTTTGGCCATAAATCCATAGCATGTTGATTCATTGTGGGGAAAAGGTAAATTGAATAAAATTAGATTTAAGGTGAATGTCTAAAAATGATGAATTAATTTGAATAAGCACTAGAATGGTACGAATAAGCTTTGGCCATAAATCCATAGCATGTTTTATTATTGTATGGAAAAGGTAAATTGAATTAAATTAGATTTAAGGTGAATGTCTAAAAATGATGAATTAATTTGAATAAGCACTAGAATGGTACGAATAAGCTTTGGCCATAAATCCATAGCATGTTTTATTATTGTATGGAAAAGGTAATATTAATTAATTATTTTTTTAGCCTTCATCTTATTAGAATATAAATAATTTGAAAACGCTTATTCGTTGTTTAATTAAGCAAATGAGATTTAACCAAATTAATATTTAAATGATGCATTTTTAGGTATTTGACTTGAATAAATTAGCATAATATTCCAATAAGCAAGAACAATAATGAATAATTCATATATATATATATGTGAATTTAAATACAATTTAATTATTACAAATGTTTTTATTAATAAAAGAATAAAAATAAGATTCTTTTTAAATTAATTACAAATATTACAAAACTTATAGATTTTTCAAAAGATAAATAAATCTATTTAATAACCCAAAAGTAATCATATCTGTCTTAAATATTGGTTAGATAGATAGATATAAGATTATTTATGTTAATACAATGTACTTTCAAATTGTATTATCATCCAATTAAAATAAATTAATTCTAGAATATATATTTTCAATTTCTAACTGATCTTGACTATTATCAAAACAATTTTAATTATTTTAATATTGATTTATCATAGACTCAAAAAAACAATTAAAAAGATCTATTAAATAACTATGATTTCTAGCTGAACTATTTAATACAATTTTTTTATAAAACAACTATATATCAATATTGAAGTTTTTGAGCCTGGTTTATATTTTCCAAAATCAAAACAAAACAAAAATTATTTCATCATATTTGAACTTTCTTTTAATAATCATGGTTAAAGTTTTTTATATAGACGTAGATGTCAAAAATAGGTTTTAAATTTTGAACAAATAATCACTAGAAATTTATGCCACAAATCAATAAAAAGATATATTTTAAGCATTAAACGATTTGTATGTAAGAATGCATCATGAATAAATTCCTGGAAGAAACTCTTATTTTACAAAATCATAATACATAATCTTATATCCGCAGTTTAGTTTATAAATTCATAAAATATCAAAATCAATCAACCAAATCAAGGAAATATAACTATAAGTTAAATATTTCAGTTAAATGTGTAACTAATAACTGATCCTCATTTGTTGTAAAAATAATCTATTATATATAAATTTATAATTGCTGCAAAAAATCTATTTTTAGATGGATACTCCAAATTTATTCTTGACTGAGATACAAAATTAATCATTAAATTCAAATTCGCTTAGCTCAAAAATTTATGAACTAATTTATCCAATACTAATCCTTTGCTGATAATGAAAAATTATTATTTTTTTTAGAATGTGTAGTTTATCATAAAATACAATCTATTTTTTTCACTTTTAGCAATATTTAATTCCTGCAATAATATAGTATTTAACAGAAGAAGCATCTCTGCTTTTCTTATCTTAAATGTCCCTCAAATACTGACAAAATAGCCTCAAGTTTCTTAATTATATTATTCATGATAATATGATATTCTCTATGCATGACTTCAGCTTATATACTTTCTTTAATAGAATCTCATGATTTTATCAATTTATTTCTAAACAAAATTTAATTCATTGATAAATGTCAAACACCATAAACAGTAAATTAAAAGCCAATTTATATTTTAGAATCAACTAAAGCTTTTTTATTTTAAAATTTAAATGTATGCTGAGAACTATTTATAAGCTTAAAATTTTTGGGAAAATAAATTTAGGAATAATTTTTTTTCAAATATTAAAAAAAAACTTCAAATTTTTTTTTTTAACTTCATGTTTTTAATAGAGAAACCATATAAGTTTTTTCTCAAATATCTCATGAAAGTGACATTAGTTTAAATTCAAGTCTATTATTGCTCAAAAAAGTTCTAGATATATCTATGAATTCTTTTTATTAATTGATACAGAACCGAGAGCGTGACATTCAAATTTTATAAAATTTTTTGATTATTTGATGCTAATAATTTATCTTAATCAAACCTGATTGATTTTTAATTAAATTATTTCTTAGTATAAATTATTAACACTTAGTCAAATTAGAAATTTTTATTTATACTTATAACTTTAAATTGCATTTATATCTTATATTTCCATTTCAATAAGTTTAATCTATTTGAATAACTTAATCACCTATATATGAAACAGAACTGCTTATCTACTTAAAACATAGGCTTTGTATAATTTTAACTAACTAAAATTTAATTCTGAAATGCAGCCTTTTTAAAAGCATTCATAAGTCTATTTATATTAATAAAATATGTTAGATATTATTAAACTTAATTACTAATGTATATCTATAATAATGAAAGATTTATATTATTATGCATCATATATTAGCTGAAAATATTATCTAAAGAAAGTTCAGATTTAATTTGAAATAATATTATATATCAACATATATTAAACTTTCCTGCCAAATTTAACTTAATTAAGATTTTATCAATTCGGTCGAGTATTATTTTTATTATTAAAAATTTTTTCATAAGACTTACTTCATTCCACAATTTTAAGTTAATTAAAAATCTTAAAGCTTCTATGACTTAAGAATTAAATACTTTAGAGTGTTCTTGAAATAGCTTTCATATAAACCTTACAGTTTTAAATAAAATTATTTTTGGGAATTAAGTTATATTTTCCAATTTCATGCTTTTAAAAAAAATCAGATCTTTAAATGTATTTATTTGAAAAGCAATTAAGAAAGAAAAAATAGAGATGAAAAATATTATAAAATATAACTATAATTAGGATCATTCTCATCATATTACGAAGCAATATAATTTGATAAATTGTTGCTTCATATTTAAAAATCAATGCTACAATTTCTTTGAAAAGAGATAGAATTATATTTACTTTAAAATTCTTTAACTTTAATTTAATTTGTTTCAGGATCAAAGTGACTGATATTTGCTAATTAAAATAATTATTTGGCAATATTTTTGAAGATTCTTCAGTTTAGACCAATAATCACAAGCGAATTAAATAAGATTTATTTATATTCATATTTAGAGATTGACTTCTCCAAAACAATAAGTCATGATGAATAAGTTATTATTTCAGCAATAGGAATAGAAAATATGATGAGATTTGATTTGATTATTATAATCATAATATTAATTGAATTAGTATAAAAAATATTTGTGATATTTATTAACCTTAATGTTTAAGAACAATTTCTTGTATTATTGTTGACGGGATCAAAGATTACGAATAATTTTCGATAATTTAATGATATATTTAAAAAGAAATTACATTATTTTCCAACTGGAGAAATAGAGAACCAAAGAAGAATATTTCAAGAGTTTATTAATTATTCCAAAAAAGGAAAAAACCAGCTTCTTGAAAAAACATTGTAATTTAAAAACGAAATTACTGATTGATTGATATTTTTATACTTCAACCCTATAGAAATAGCCTACATTAGTATTTACTACTTTATTTAACATTCTATTTTATATCTTAACTTACACTTATGAAAAATAAATAAATAATAATTTTTCATAAATTATGAAGAACTGTAATCTATAGATAAATTAAATTCAAATAGCTTAATTGAATATTTGCAAGTTTCCCTCTCTAAAAATAATTAAAATAATACATGATAATATTAGGGATGGTATACTTTTGTTTATCAAAAATTACAACCATTTGAATTAATCTTCAGAATTAACAATTATAAAGCTTGATTGATAATTGATTTTCAACATTTTTATTAACCTTTTTTCAACTATCTTGCATTTATTACCAAAATAGATAACATTGCCATTTAGTTTGACTCCAGTTTATTACTAAATTAGCATTAAAGATTGATATTCAATTTAGCAATTAATTATATTGATAATTTTTAGAATAGAGCCTACCTTAGTAACTATTCTATTCCAAATTTAGAATTTTGCAAACCATGCTCTGGGTTTTGATATTTCAGTCTATTTTCCTAAAAACATACTTCATAGAGTTAATTTAATTAAAGAATAACTTCTAATGAACTTCCTTACTCTAATTATATCTTATATATTCCTCTATCTAATCTCAATTAGCTTTGAGTTCTATTAGAGTTTCATTCAAAAAAAACCTTACTTAAAACCAATATTAGTTCCTATTTAGAGCTCTTTAGATTTTAAGCAAGAGTGGTCTTAAATAACCCTCTTTATCTTGTATAAATCAATAGACTTTATTGAAATAAAAATTATTCTACTTGGTTTAAGGATTTTCCTGTATCCTTTTTTTCATCATCTTTTTTCTTAGTAATTATTGCTGTATAGCCTAAAAATCTTTCCTCTTTAGGTTCTACATTTTGAGTCATATTTTATTATTAATGACAAATATTACCTACTAAGTATTCTTCCCAAATAGTATCTACATAACATAAGATTAGTGTTCATACAGTTGATATTCCCAATTCTTATTGTAGTTTTCTTTAAGAGAATGGAGTTATTTGCTATTCATATTAA